TCCAGAAGGGGAAGGAGAGAGCAAAAAGCCAGTCTTGGGGCTCCATTCTGCTGGATGGTCACCCCCTTTCTAGGCGCAAAAGCTCTCCCGGCAGCTCCTGCCGCCCCGGGCAGCGCCAGAGTGCCAGCAGCTCCTGCCTTTCCTGGCTGCCAGGGCAGGGAGCTTCCAAGGGCACAAGGCCCACCTCGCCCCACCCCAGCACTGTTCCCTTCAGCTGGATTTGGCGCTGCTTCAGCTTCAGGGTTGCAAAGGCTGGAGGTCTTGCTCGGGCCGCGGTTCCCGAGTGCCCCGTGGAATTCGCTCCTGCCAGCCGACGCGGATGGATGGCCGTCCGCCAGGATGGCGTAGGAGTGGGTTCCGCTCTGGGAAGGAGGTTGAACTTCACGATCCCCGAGGTCCCTTCCGTTCTTGGCCCAGTGGCTACCAACCTTGGCATTAGACAGAGGCACGGAGGAGAGGGCTACGTTTTGCTTTGAGCATTGGGATCAGCAGGGGGGTGTCTCTTGTTTCCAGTGGGCCACCTGGCAGCCTGCTATGGAGTGGGATCTGGTCTAATCCTGCGGATCTCGTTTTAGTTCTGGGGAATCATGGGGATTTGCAACTGCGAAGCGGGGGGCATGCTGAATCCAGGATTCTGGGCTCCCGCAGACCCAGGTGTGCTGCCCTGTTCTGGGGATGCTCCCGGTTGGTTTCCCTTAGAAGGAACTGGTGCCGCGTCTTTTGGGCTCTCCTCCTGGCCAGGGGCCCTACTGGCACCCCCTGGGGGGCCCTCCAGGCCCGCCTGTCCTCCAGCAGAGCTCTCCCAGGGCTGCCCCTCCACTCAGCAACCTGGGTAGAATGCGCGCCTTGCCCTGGGGCTCGCCATTCTTTCCTCTTCCCTCTCTCCCCGCCCCCCCTTTCTGGCTGGCCTTGCGTTGCAGCGGTGTCTCTGCAGACTGCTTGGGACCTGGCAGCTGCCCAGGTGGAGCGGTCACTCAGGATACCACCGGCTGGTTGCTCAGCATGTCTTGCATCCAGAGAGGCAGCGCTGTGCTCGGGCGGACAAACGTGGGTGAGGGCAGATGTCTTGGGCTGTGGAATAGTTGGCGGTGGGGTGGGCAGGGAAAGAGCTGCCCTCCCCAGGAGGGAGGTGAACTGCTAACCGAGGAGAGGGGGCACTGCCAGCTGAACAGAGCCCTGCCCCAGGCACTGTTCTTAGCTGTTTTCTGGGGGTGCTTGACCGCACAGTCCAACCCTGCTGCCCCACAGCTGTCCAGTCTCAGGTCCCAGCTGGGAGTTGTCCCTTCCTGCGGCTTCCCCAGGTGTGGGGCTTTCCCAAGGCAGCCCCCCCCCCCCCCCCCGTGGCCGAGGCAATGGGAATCTGCCAGCAGCCAAACAGAATCTGACAGTCTTACCCCCTCCCCACTTTTGAAAGCATGCCTGGTGCTCGCTGCGGGGTTTGGTTCCTGCGGGGGAGTCTCAGGCTGCCTCGGCATCTCAGGGAGGAGGTCTCTGCTACTTGGCGTCAGCGTCTCACGTGTGTTCTAGAAAGGGAGAGTTCTGCAGGGCGATCTTCGGGGACGTTTCCACTCCAGCAGAGTTGTGGGGGTGAGAGCTTTAGCCATTAGTGGGAGCAGGGGCTTCTCCAGGCAGGCCTAGAGGGAGCGCCATGAGTTGCTCCCCCACCCTAGCCAGGATCCCAGAATAGCAGCCAGAGGAGGGCCCCCGAGCCCCGAGCAAGCAAGCCAGTGAGGTGTGAGGCTGCCTTGCTGCCCAGGCGGAGGGCCTCTCCACCCTGGGAGCAGACCTTCAGCCAGCTCTATGGGGTGCACCTGGCCCTCTGCAGCTGAGGAGCCGGAGGGAGGGTGGGGTCATGCTCCCCTTGGCAGATTGGGAGGAGTCCGCTAGGTGCCCAGATCGTGGCCAGGAGGACCTTTGCCTGGAGAAGGCCAGTGCTCCGGCTATGTCAGTTCCCAGCAATGTGGGGCGCAGTGGTTTGGACAGCCCGAAGGGAGGAAGTGACTCCTATATGGAGCAGCTGGCTTGGGGCCGGTTGTGAGCTGGACAGATCCTTCTCTGCCTCCCTCGGCCGCACATTTGGTGGGGCCTGGGGAGCCCCCCAGCCAGGAGGCCCCTCCAGCTCCAGCTCCAGCTCCGCCTCCGCTGCTGTCCCCCAACAGCCCTGCCTCTCTGAGATGGGCTTCAGGCCCTTTGTTGAAGTCGCTTTTAATTTAGTCAGTGCTGTTGCTTCGTATTGATTTTGCTAATCACAAATGCTAACTGTTTCTCGGAAGTTGTAGGGGAAGAACAGGTTAGGCAACTAGATAGATTTTGTGGGTATTTTATTATAGCGTCTTGAGTTCTGTTTTGGTGGAAAAGCAAGATAGAAGCATCCCAAATAAATAAAAATACATACGCCCTGGCGTGCATATTTACTCAAAGGGCTTAATGGGGTGTAATCCATTGATTGACTGGCTCGTGGGTGGTCATCATTGGGAAAAGATGCCCGCTCTGCTCCCCTGAGGGGCTGAACAGAGTAGAGAAAGCCAGATCTACCTCCAGGTAAAGTTGAGGAGGACTAGCAGCTTGCGATTTTGGATGCAGTGTGGGCTTCTTCCCCATACGGTCCTGAGCCTGGAGCCTCCAGGCAAGGGACCACCTGCTGGGGTCTGGCCAGTAGACTCTCCCCCCGGCCGGCGGTCTAGCCTCCGGACGCCAGGTAGAACGGCCAGCTGCCTTTCGAAGCTGTCCTGCTCTGCCGCAGAGCTTGCTGAGTAGGTGGTCTCCTCAGGCTCTTCCCCCACCAATGGTGCGGTCCCACACGGCGGGCCTCGGGCCTCGGACGGGCTGGGCTGCTGGCGAATCAGGAGGGCTTGGAGGAGAGGCTCCTGCCGCGCCAGGGAGAGCCTGGCCACCGAAACAGACTTCTTGGCCGCTTCCTGACCACATCCAGTCCCGGCCCGGCTGGGTCGATGTGAGTCAGGACAGGAGGGAAGTGGTGGGCTGGGTCTGCCAGGCATTAAGGAGCAGGGAGCTGGGCCCAGGCACGCAGCGGCTGGGGGGGCGGTGGTGGCGGCGGCAGCTCTGGCCCCCAAACGCCTGCCGTTCAGCCTCTCCCTCCCCTGAGCTGAGTGTCCAAGCGTTCAGAGGACAGAAGAGCTCTGGGTGGGGGCTTCTTTCCGGAGGGGGGCTTTGTCCAACAGCCAGGCTCTTCCCTCCCCCTCCCCCCCAGCGTGGAGGGGCAGGCTTAGCATTCCTCTTTCCCTCCAGACCATTGGAGAAGCTGCAGGCCGA